AGAGACGAGCAGAAGGGCGGAGAATACGACGTATGTTAACGAAAAAAATGAATTTTTTGACCTGAACAGTCAACACATTTGACGGCAAATTTATATATATTTATCAACATGACTTGTTTTTTTTAGACAAAAATGTGTAAGATTATTTTGCCGAATGTTGTACAAGCAAATGTTGAAAATGAAGTATATATTGATAATAATAATGTGAGTTCTATTTATATAACTATTTTTATATCATAAAGTACATCTGATTTCTATCATTGTTTCAGTTACAGGAATATGATTCATCTACTGATTTTAATTTGTATGATATCATGGATCGATCAGAGCTTATTAAAATTTATAATACAAAAATGGACATTGAAAAACTAAAACAAGAGATAGCAATTAAAGAACGTGATATAGCAATTAAAGAACGTGATCTGATGGACATTGAAAACAAACAATTATTAAAATATATAAAAACAACTTTAATCAGTCATCGTAAAAAAACATGTTAAAAAAAATTTTTTTATATTTTTCTTCATCAATAAATTCTATTGTGTACTTTGGATGAATTCATCTATAAGAACAGTGACATATAGCGAGGTTATTTCATTCATTTTTTGTTGATTAATGGATGGATAAAATTTTAAATTTGAACTTCAATTGAAGTTACTAGTTTCAACTTTCGAATACGCACGCATCTCTCGACATCGGTTCCACAAAGAGATCCACAGCACATTTTTCTCGATTTTAATGACTGAAAAGGATAGAGATGCGTGTGTGTTTAGAACTTGAAAATTAAAACTTGAAGAGGATTATTTCGATTGAACTCCAGTTTCCGTTCTGAGCGTATTAATCTTATCTGAACGATGATGGATTGTCTTATAGTAGCTTCATATCGAAAGTCCATGCTAATATTCAGACGACTCCATTGTCTATATTGTTTTAGTTGTCAAGCAATAATTGCTTTCGAAGAATTCGTGTACTTAATCATTATCCAAATGAAGTTTCACATGAACCATTTGATGAAGATACTATTAGTCGAGAAAGAACTTTTAATATAATTAAATAATAAAATTTTCTTTTTAGAATAAAATAATTATCAATGTCAGATGATGTTTCTATTCAATTAAATCCTCCAATAACTTACCCATTTTTAATTACACGTTTTGATGTAGTATGTTATTATGGTGTTACATTAACTTTTTTTAAACAATTCAATAATGATGACGGAACTTGTTCAGAAACTTCATCCACAACAGCAATTATTACTTTAAATCGTTTAATTGAAAAATTATAATTGAACATGTCGACATGAATTTCGTTCATTATTCAACATTTAAAAGTATTTTAGAACTTCTTTATTATATGACAATTGAACAAGGTATATTAGATTTACCGTTTGAAACTCATTTCTATAATATATTATATAAATTATATATTCCATCTTCATCATTGTCACATTCAGTTCTTAAATTTAATGTTGGTGAAAGACAATTAACAGTTTGGCAACCAAGTATAGTTGTTAGATTTTAATTTACTTGAATTTTTTTTTCTTAATTGGGCGTTCGAAGTGTTGTTGATCTTGTTATATGCGAATTATTAGAACATCAAATTATTCTTAAATCTTCATAGGTATTTATTTATTCTCTCTTTCTAAACTCACGAGCTAAAATGAAAAAGGAAGACTCAAGTCCATGGATCTTTCTTTCTTAGAAAACAATGATTTCACAATAAAAAAAAATTATCAAAATTGAATTTTCTTCAGTATCAATAGTTCGAGTTAGAAGTAAAATATTCTAAGGATTATGAGATCTACTTATGACTACAATTACTTAATTTGATCTTTTGTCAAATATCTTCCTATAGTCTAGAAATCGAGAAAAATAGTCATAACTCCTAAAAAAGAAGATCTCTGGATTGAAACACTTGTGAACCTTCTTTAATTTTCTCGATGAAATCAATTGAATTAATTTATTTAGATTATATTCGACTAATGCACGTTGATGAATGTTTAACATTACTATGATTAACGATGATAATGATGACAGATATAGTGATACACGTGACGAAGTAATGTTTGAAGTTCAACGATGCATTGTTCATATTGATAGAGAATGTATTCAATTACCTGGTGATATACCACGTTTTCCTGATTGATCTTGTTTTATTAGGAAGCTTCATGGAATCTTAGCAAGATTTGATAATTGAATAGTGAATTATTGATGAGTTATTTGAAAAATAAACGAAGAATTCAAGGTGGTGAAGATTGGACTGATGCTGATGATCAACATCTATCAATAGAAACAAATGATGAACCAAATCAAATACTATTTTAATACAATTTTCAGCTATTACTAAACATGTTGAAATTGTTATTAATAATAATAATGAAGATGAAAATAGAGATGTAAAAATTTATTCTTTTTAGATCGACAGGTTTATTTAGTAAATATGATTTACGTGAAATGTGAGCAAATAATTGTTTACGTGTGTCATTTGTAAATCGTTTTGTTCAATTATGTAGTCAAATGGATCCATTTATATGTTATCCACCATTGAGCAAATACTCTAATATTGAACAATAGCTAGCACAACGAAGTACAACAAAAAATGTTGATCGAACTATGCTTATTGTTGATCAACCAAAAGCACATGTTTTCTTTTTTTTACTTGCATTTATGGAAACATAATCGTTTGTTTCATTCGTAGATAGTAAAATTGCATCAAGATTTAGTGAAGATAATCATCTTTTTGGTTTAACAAATAAATATTTACAAGTAAGATTTTAATATCAATATTTATAATTTATTTATTTTTTTATTGTAATTTTACTTTTATATTTTTTTTCTTTTTGATCGTATTCGTTTATATCGGAATCGTCGTGATTTTACTTGTCAAACTTGTCCATCAATTGATTTAATCGATGAAGAAACTCGTCATCGTTTTACTCCACCTCTTCCTCCTTCATTAATTCTAATGCATACATCTTCAGTTCATTCACTTTATGATTCTATATGAATGTCTAATAACTCATATATGTTTGAAAAATTAGATTGAACTTTACTTGAATCTTTCTCCTCCTCATCATTAATAATTAACATATCCTCATCTTTATCTAGTGAACTTGTTAAAATAAATTCTTGTTTAATCTGATAAACTCAAACAAAACATTCAAAACGACGTGTAACATGATTAAGAAAAACAACAAACAGCAGTTGCTACTGATGAACATCAACGACATGTTGTTCTTGTTGAAAATGATGTTGTTTTTAAACAATTACTTAAAGAACGTACTACTAGGGTAAAAAAAACGTAAAAATCTACTACGAAAGAAAAAAAGATTATTTTCATTTTATTTCTTAAGACAATATGAATGATGATTGAAAAAATGGAAGATATTGTTGAAGATTCATTATCATAAAAAAAGCTAATTCATGATCAATGATTAATCTCGAAGAAAATGTTTTTATTGCAGATTTTTGTGATTTACCTGAACGTATTTGATCTCATGGTCTTCATCATAAACCAAGTGGAAAAATCTGCTTGATGGAATCATATTAAAAATGTTATGTTAAACTTAAAACTTATGAATTAGCACAAATTTCTCGTGCTGATCTTCCAATAACACTTAATAAAGATGAAAATCTATGATAGATTATAAGATATCATTCAAAAAAAGCAAAAGATCTAAAAAAAACTTTTTCAATGAATATATGTTTTTAAATAGCTTTGGTCTGATGTTGATTGTGAAAGCAATTAGTAAATCGTAGTAGATCGAGTAGTCGATCACAATCTTCCAGTGGTCATCATAATAATTTATCCATTACGGATATCAATTCTTTTGGATGATTTCAGATTCAAACTAAAAGCTTTTTAAGAACATCTTCGTACTTTTCTAACTTAAAGTTTTGAGTTTTATTCTGTTTTGCAGATGGCTCGAGGTGTTCTATGTTCATTAAGCATATTCTGTAAATTAAAAAATAACTTTTAAAGTCAATATTTTTGATAAAATGGAATACTTGCTTTAGGAAGACAGCAAAGTCTTTCGATTAGTTCGAAATTTTCTCAAGTCTCTTTTTTTTTGTCCGAAAGAAAAGTGTCGAGTCACTCCATTGTCTTCAACATAATGTATTCAATTGAGCTAAAATCATTTTTCTCGCAAATACTATGTATTGTTTAGAATGCCTGCAGTTTTTGTTTCAAAAAATAGTACATTGGCAGTTTTTGGTAGGTTTTACAAAAACAGATTTTATCCAAAATAAAACAATACTTATTTTTTAGAGAGCCTTCTGTATTTTGGGTTTTCTATCCCAAAGGAAAAGACTAAAAAGTAGCTGTCCTAAATATTATCTATTAACATTTCGTTTAAAAAATGCACGAAAAGGAAGGATCATTTTCGCCGCTTATGATTGTTAGATTCCTAGAATCAAGCATTGAAAATATTTTGATTTCATAACAACTCTCGTTCTATATATCAAGATCTATCTTTCATGAAAGTTTAAAGTTTTCTAACAAGTCACTCTTTATTATCCTCGAAAACGAGAAGACTTTCACAAAATAAATGATCGTTTTTCGATTATTATTTTCTTTTCTATTGTACACTTAAGAGAGGTTCCACGAGAGGACCGACTAAGCTGGTATGAGGCTGGCATCCGATAGAATTTTGATTTTCGATTTAACTATCTAAAATGATAGATCATCATTAGGAGTTCCTAAATCCAAAATATGAGATCATTCTGAGTTTCCTGTGAAACATGCCAGAGCATGCAAGTAGTACACCCCTCGGAACTTGGTCAAAAAGGCGCTATTTTTCAGTGCTTCGAGTATTTTACACTTTTCTCAGCATCCAAACATTTTTGAGAATTTGAGAACATCTCAAAAGATGCAGAAATGTTTTCTCTACAAAATTCACTAATCCAGTGTATTTTACAATACTATTTATCAAGTGATAGTCTCCATATACGAGTAAAATGACGATTGCCTAAAAATGAAGATTTTTCATAATATTGACACTAGCCACGCTGAACCATGCTATCCCAAAATAATTTTTGTTTTTTTCTGAAAGCCCTTGAAATTCTGCATCGTTTAAGATATCACTCAAAACGTTTCAACCTTGGTAGCAAAAGTTAGTCCGAACCACAAACAGTGAGAGGTAGTGCACATTTCTATCCATTTGGCCCGTAATCAGAGTAATACATATTTTAGGCTCATCCAAATCGAAAATATAATTTCAGATTCGTAATCAGCATAAAAAGTTGGGTATAAGAACCTGGTTTTATTAAATGAAAGATAAATAAAAAAGAAGCTATCCTGTTCAGTACAAGTAACTGGAGGATTGTTCAAAGTATACTTTCATAGATGTCTGTATAGCTGTTCATGAAGAGATATAGAACGAAAGATTTTACTTCATATAGAATCACTGAAGTCTTAGCTTCAAAAATATCTATTGATGTGTCTTTAAATTTTGTATAGTTGCCGAGAAAACCAGACTTCGCTTGGTATTTGTGGCAAA